CTTAATTGTTTTTGGCCCCCCCCCCCCACCCCTTCTTTACTCGTCTTACCATAAATCGATTGTTGGTCGTAACTTGTTGCATAGACTTTATCGTCTCTGTAATCCACGATCTCCCTTTTTGTTTCAGGCCACACCAAGGTTGATGGAGCCGTATTATTTTGTGGAGGTTCAGGCTCCAGCAGATTGTGTCTCTGCTGTGTACACCGTGTTGGCAAGAAGAAGGTTTGTCAGCACAAGTTCAATCCAGTTAGAGTGGTATTTAATGGTCCATTCAGACTAAAATGTCACTTCATTAGATGATTATAATGTGTATTCATGATGACAATGAGTTGATTGTTTTCATCGCCTCCTAGTGGGTAAAATGAGATCAGTGTTTAAGCAAAAACATTGGCTGGAGAAAGACATGTACAAATTCTGGCCAAACATGAACAAAATCTAGTGTTCAATGGTTAATTGTAACTTTAGAAATTGTGCACAGTTATAGAGTGCATGGTTGAGTGTGCATGGATTTGTATCATGCAATTTAAGTTCTTACTGACACTTAAAAAACTACAAAATTAATCTTGAAAGTCCTTAAAAAGTGTTTTGTGATTAACTTAAGGCTTAAAAATGTATTTTTTTGTCACTTCTCAGAGGTCACGTGACCCAGGACGCCCCCATTCCAGGCTCCCCCCTCTACACCATCAAAGCTTTCATCCCAGCCATCGACTCATTCGGCTTCGAGACGGACCTTCGCACCCACACACAAGGGCAGGCCTTCGCCCTGTCTGTGTTCCACCACTGGCAGGTAATGTCAGATAGACCTCAACTATTTTCTCCTGTCAGCTGTGGTCACATGACCCGCGAGTGAAAGAAGACTAGATTGTTGCTGACGAGGTTGGTCCCTGGTGTAGACGGTATTTAAATGTACAGCGGAGGGTTCAGTCTGTCTGTCATTCTGACCAAACAGCTGAAGTCAGGAAGACAAATGTGGAGTCAGTAAGTTTACAATGTCCTCTCCTGTCATTAATGACATGTTTGTTTCCGCACTCTGTACGACGAGTCGGAAACTATTACCTCCCTTCGCAAGAGAGTGGGGGAATTTATGGGCATCGTCTAAATGTAACTGTCACACAGTAAACAAAGCTGATGATTTAAACAGACAGAAAGCTTTCCTCTGGTCTGTTTAAATCAGAGATGATGTCGCACCACAGTGATTTTGTTTGAGTTTATTCTGTCGTCAAATTCCCGACCTGGGATTAGATTTAATTTTTATACACACATTAAAAAACTTATAGATAATTCCCTTTTTCTGCTTAATTAAATTCCTGTAAATTAGGTCTTTTTATTTAGACGTGTGCCAATATAAAGGCCCCAACCCTCAGTTGTAAAATGACCCATTTTCCCTGAAGGCCCCGTAACTGTCACGTTCCTCACCCTGCTCTAAATTACTTCTTGATGGGCAGCTACAGTCCTGCTCGCTGACAGAGGCCAAGCTGCTAATGTGTGTATTATATTTATTACAACAATAACTCATTTGTCCTGGAAGGTCAGTATCTGACAGAGGAGTCCCTGACCTGTGACCTTTGTCCCATTCAACCACCAGATGCTGTATTGTATGGATTTAATTGTCTAATTTTCTGCAAAACCTAACTATTTGTTCCTGCTTTTACATCCGTTTTAAACCTCGCTGTATTCAAAGTCACCAACTGACAGTGAGGCCGTGTTAACCAGTGTCAGATCTACCATACACTATGACGTGTTGTGCTTGTCTGTTTTCAGATTGTACCTGGTGACCCTCTGGACAAGAGTATTGTGATCAGACCTCTGGAGCCTCAGCCTGCCCCACACCTGGCCAGAGAGTTCATGATCAAGACCCGGAGACGCAAGGTGACCCTGCAGTCTATTTGTAGAATTTAGAAATGTTATCCTTCCTTGGGAGTTTGAAGACGTTTTCACCTCTCATCCAAGAGGTTTCTTCAGTTCTTCAACGGAAGAAGCCGCTTGGATGAGAGGTGAAACATCTTCAAAAACAAAAACAAAACTACTGGACCTGCATGACTGAGAACCTACACAGACATATCCTTCTCTGTATTTGTCAGTGACTTACTGTGTTTTTGTTGCAGGGCTTGAGTGAGGACGTGAGCATCAGCAAGTTCTTCGACGATCCTATGTTGTTGGAGTTGGCCAAACAGGATGTGGTGCTGAACTACCCAATGTGAGACTACAGTACGGACAACAAACCAGAGGACACCTTCATTAATCAACACAGTGCAGACAACCTTTTTAAACATCGGTGAACTTTGCCATTATGGTTTCCTGGTGGGTTTGCTTCTTTCTTTAGAGCCATCATGTTTAAAAAGTTTGTTAAAACACATTGTGCTCTTATTTTACTTAATGTGCTTGTATAAATGATTTTCTAGAATAAGATAACATGATGCTTTTAAAAAACAATTGGCTGGAAGTGATCTGTTGTAAGTTTAAATAAAAAACATTTTTTCAATTTTTTCCAAACTTTTGCTTTTCACATTTCTTTTTCAAACGTATCTAAACATGTCAAAATATCACCAAAAACAAGACTTTTTATTAATGTGTTAATATCACAAAATAATAAAATGTCCCAGAAATGCCTCAAAATGCAAGTTTATGCTAAAAACATCATATCTGAACATGTCACTAATAATATATATATATAATAATTTTCTGTCAGACAGGAAACTTCATTATTTAATTCAACATGAATATATATATGCATATATTAATATATATATATATGTTCCTCTATATTTAATATAGAGGAACAGCAAAAGAGACGATGCAGAAAAGAGGAAGCTCAGGCGGAAAACAGTCAGTGTTTTTCATGACGTATCCAGGTTCAACTAAACAGTAGCTTTGTTTTGATTATTATCACCAACGATGGACTTCCGGCTTCACTTTGCAACCAGGTACTTGGGTCAATTTTTTTTTTTATATACGATCTGTGTTTCTGTTCAAAGACACTGTTGATCACATCTCGTCTCTCTTCAGAGACGTTCAACCTTTGTATTCACAGGAAATCTGGTCACTGACCTTCTGGTTTATCATCAAAGATCTGATGGACTGAAATACAGCAGCTACACCGTGCCTGCAAAGAAAGGTACATTTGAGAGTGTATGGGGTCCATGCTGCATCAGCAGTTAATGTGACCGTATTGATGTCATATTCGTGTATTGCATTTTTTCTGGTTAGCTTATGGTAAGTAACCCAAGTTGTGGAACCTGTGAGTATGTCTTTAAATCCCAAGCAAGGCCAAATTTCATTGTCATATATGGCGCCAGACTTTGAGCCATTGATGTGCAGGTCAGAGGAGGCACTGCCTCCCCTTCCATCATG